CACATGAAAAATGGCAACCTGCAAACTATGCAATACAAAAGTCTACCAATGAGTTTTATCTCCATGGAAGTGAGGACTGTGCCAAATACACAGAGAAATATGTTCTACACAGCCAAGCCTCCAGATATCACTGCAACTTTTCTGATAAAAACATTCACAATAGAGACAAATTTTGTCATTCTGGATATTATCCCAGGAAAGTCGCACCTGTCAGTATATGCGATATGTCACCTTGGTTCAGACCAATAAGACCACCTAGACCAACATTTTGTATCTAACTGGTCATTGGCAAGCACTGAATGAAGAGCAAGAGTATAGCAAGGAATTATTCCACTTGGAATTGGAAGATACAACCTTTCCATCTTATTTTGAGAAAAATGAAAAAAAGACACTAAGAAAGGCATCAAAATATGTAAATAGTAGGGTTTGGTAATAAGAAGCCCTGCTTGGATGTCACAAACACAAGCACAGCAGGGGTGCATCAGAATAAAACAGCATGTCTGCAGCATCAATGAAATATTAAGATACACTAATTATAAATCAAGGAGGTTGTTAACATGTTCCCATATCAGTTCCTCTTGCCTAGTTTGGGGAGAAGTCGAAATTGCAACAAGCTGTGGAGCATCACAGCAGTGACAGTCTCCAGATTCTGAGTAGCCTTCACCTACAGTTCTACAGCTACTATCCTGCACTTCACAACAGGTATCTCTGCTCAGTCAGTGCAAAAAGGCACAGTCTTCAAAAACTAACACATCAAGAATAGGCTCCATTTGTTTCTTTATAATTCTGGCAGCAAGCTGACATCTCTTTAGCGTACACATACTGACACACATCCTCCTTACATGTATATCTTTATATACACTATCCCTGCTTGAGGAAATGCATGTTAGCCATCCTTTCATCTATTTAATAATCTTAGGCAAAGTGCAAATAACATGCCTCTTTACACCACCTTTTAAAAGCAGAAATAAATAATTAAAAGAGCAAATAATGGAACAACTATGAGCTAAAGCAGAAATATGTACTTTGGTATTCCTTAACAATAAAAACATAAGTACAGACTTGCTCTCTAAATAGTCACACATCAACACCTCTCAAAAACTCACTTCTTTGTCATTTACATGACTGTAGCCAACTTTAAAGCCTACCATGCTGACATCTAAAAACCTGAAAATGCAGCAACAGAAATCACTTTTTGTACTTTTATTATTTATGTGAAACTTTATAATTTATGTGTCAATGATGGAGCCTAGTACAGTTCAAACATTACAGCAATGCCATACTTATATTAAGCAACTAATTTCTAATTACTGCATTTTTTTTTTAACAGGTCAATTATGAAGTATCAGGTCCCTGGAAATGCAGTAAGTCAACTTCACTTAAAAGATTATAAGTTCTGGATATATTCAGTCATATCGTGTACTGAATGTACTGATTTCCATTTATTTTTTTTTAATTGTATTTATAAATACTTAACAATGTTTGCATTAACAATTACAAAGCACCTTAAGTTGCCACTATACATAGCTTTACATGTTTTTGGCAAATTTGGCTGGAAAAAATTATTTACAAAGCTGTTAATGTTTCCAGATTCAGCAGTAATTAAGCACACAGTCATGCACTGTGATGAACATGAGGGCCATGGGAAGTGATGAGTTTCTTAAGTGATATAGGCAGCTTTCCATGTAGGCATTCTGTGTCAGTACAGTTTGTCCTTTCTTCTTATTATATAAGAGGTAATTAAAAAGATTAGGAAAGGCATCTACAAAATTCAGTATCAACAGTGTAAAAAGATGCACATCTGGCTTGTAATCAATGTGCTTAGCCTCTTATTGTTGTGGCAGTGAAGTTTCAAATAGTATAATTAAGTTTGGAATTTATAAATATTTTTCTGAGAAATTTGCCTGGAGATGAGGATTTATCCAGCAACAGAGTCTAAACCTATCCAAATATTATGGTTCTGGCTACAATCATCTGCCACTTTTGCTTGAATGATATGAAATAGGACAATGGAAGAAGTCTCATGAGTTCTGTGAGTACTATATCTAGGTATCTGGAAAAGAAAAATCTCCTTCTGGCTGATTAACTCTGCCATGATCTGGATAGCAAAAATTTAAAACTCAAGTGTTTGTGTATTACAAATAGAGTTGTTTGGAAATTCTGTGCGCAATAGAAGGCCTAGGTTTGTTTTGAACATGTAATTTATCGGTAGAAAATAGTCACAGTTCAGAAAGTCACAGTGAATACCCAAATATCAGCATATGCAGCATTCCTTTCCAATGCCATCTTTGTAAGCTTTCTCCAATATATCAGGAAAAGGAAAAAAACAAGTTAAATAAAAAAAGTCTTATAATACTAGATAGATAACCATCACCATCAACCTATCATGATCAAATTTCAATCTATCATTTTACTATGATAGATACAAGATCTAACACACTGAGGACTCAACTCATTAGATTTTGGGATATAATTATACCTTAAACACTGCAATATTTAGTGATTTCCTCCCTGTTTATTAATTTAGGTTAAAAAAAAAAAAACCCAAACCATTTACAGTAATTAATCCAGTGAATCTCAGTCACAGATAAAATTCAGTTCATTTGAGTCCAAATCAGACATTTCAGTTCATGCTAATGAAATCCAGGTAAACTACCCTGGCTGTAGGCCCACTGACTTCTGGCTGAAGAGTACACACAGCTGGATGTCTGTAAATCAGGCAGGACACAATTTCTGCATATAGGCTAATGACTATTCTGCGTCACCAATGTGTAAGAGTACAGACACTAAGCGAGAGGCCTCAAAACAGCCTTTTGCCTGCCTGGCAACTTCTTCATAAAAACAAAGCTTACTTTTCCGGTTGTATCCCATTACACGATGTGAGCATTTGTAAAGTAGATGAGACTGAAGCAAAAGAAATAAAAGGAAAATATACCCCTACTGATGTAAAGTAACTTAGGCTGCACAGCCACTTCAAGCCACCACAGATCTGTGCTGACACCAAAAGGATCAGTTCCATTCTCTCCCCCTTGTTTTTCAACACCACCATAACTCAGGCAGTACAATTTGTACATACTTAGCATGAAATGAGTATATCATCTAACAAATTTATTTCCTGAAAATATTACTTTCTGAAAGATTGGGATATGTTGTTATCAGAAATATTTTATATGACTATAGACTTTATCTTTCTACAAGAAAATCACAGACAAGGCTCATCAGTATCCATTTCATTCTATAAACAAAATTCATTCAAATTAATCTACTTTACTTGGCAAGTGTAGTATTAAATCTGGTTGTGCTTATTTTTATCTAAAACCCAGCACTAAAGAAGCCCCATCTGTATGACTGCCTTTAGTGTAATAACTACGGCCACCTTAAATATCACTGTCAGCAAAAGGGAAGTAGCAGGGAAGGCAGAAAGACATGTAGGATGATAACAGAATGAAGCTAAATGCTAATGGTAGCATAACTATTGCTCGACACTTTTAATACAACTTTGGGGAAAATCAGCCATAATATAGATTTTTTAAAGTGTATGAACAAACCAGACAAATCCCACTGTAGTACCTGTTCACATTAAAACTTCACTAGGAAAATGGTCAGCAGTCACTTTACTTTAGCAGTTGTTACAAAAACTTTTATGAGGACTTCCACAAAAGTTTATCTTTCATTTATACCTTCGTCCCCAAAAATTGGAAACTTTGAACAACTGGTAATAAATGCCACTTAGTAAAATATGATTCTTGAAGCTAAAAGTTCTCCAAAGCATTTATTTGGTTTTAGCAGAAAGATCCTTAACCCACACTATAAAGTGTGTTTCAAACACATAGTGATTTCTTACAGTGATTTCAAGCACCTTAGATAAGATTATTATTTTTAAATACACATAGCTAAAAAAACCCAAGAAGTATTAATTTCTGATAACATGAAAGTATTTTTCATCATCTGTGTACAAAAGGAATTGTCACAACCTATTTCCCTGATTCATAGCACTGTTTTTCTGATTGTTGTTGTGGATTATAACAATAGGCCTCCTGCTGGGCTATAGTTTGCAAACTACAAGGAAAAAGATAAACAGTTGATTGCTATATACTTCTATTCTGCTGCTAGGTAATCTCTTTAAGCCAACAAAAATGTATTGCCACCTTAGGATGGTATGTAGTCATTACCACCAAAAATCTGACTCAACATAGCCTTTTCCATTCCTTGCCCGCCATTTTTTTAAACATAATTCTGCAGAAAACACTATCTTCTAGAAAGTAACAATAGTGCTCTATTTAAAATAAGAATTATCATTAGAACTTAAAACCCTATACACCTTAGAAATCAGCCACAAAGCAAAAAAAGTGTTTCTTCCTCATTTGCATTTTACCTGGTACATTACAAATCATTGTTAAAATTGCCTGAATCTTATGTTTGCAGATAATCTCACAAAATTTAAGATCATTGCAAAATTCAGGATCACTGTCAACCCAAGCCAGCTCAAATCCAAGTTTCCTGGGTCTATTTAGCAAGGTATTTTACCTAAAGAAACACAAAAGAAATACCTCCAGAATTTAACACATTGAGTTATAATATCAACATTCTTATCTGAAATTGACTTACTACATGTTTCAAGTAGGAACTTTTGAGATGGCATATCCAGTAATTTATTGAGGCATACTGAATAATTTTAATTCAAAATTTACCAATTTTTAATCCAAGAAAACCAAGTTATATTCTCAAACAAGACACCACAGGTTGATGGATAGGATTTTCAATTCAAAATGGGTAAACTAAACTTCTAATATTAATACCAGTATATTTCAAAATAAAAATACCAAAAGGCTCAAAATACTTTAAAAAATTGTTAGCCTATTGTGCCTTTGAAAAAATGGTAGAACCTAAACACAAAAATTATAATATTCAAGTTATACCAAAACCAGATTTCCTTTTTAAATCTGAAAATAACTGAGCTGTTGAAAGCTAAATATTAATCACAAATAAAAAGCACTTACCTTCTTGTCTGTTATTTTTCCTTTTTAGCCATTTTTCCACAGTTTCTGCACTTACACTTTCTGACACAAACTCATCCAGTACCTGGGGGTGAAGAGAAAGATACGCCTTCACTTTTTCATCTGTTAAGCCTGAAAGAGAGAACATTAATTGATTAAATTATTGGTATAAATTTCTTCATATGAAGAAAATACCTGGAGACCAGCAAGAATCAATATTCCTTTGTTTAACACACTGATTGAATATATGACTATTTAAATAGAACAGAGAGAGCAATACACTGTCAAAAAATGAGCTGTAATGTAGAAAATAGTAGAAGAAAAGTGTAGCCATACAAGATACTGTATACAAAAATTCCCCTGAAGGCATACACTAGGAGAAATAGCCAAGTAGGAATTCATTACTATGATTGTGACTATAAAACTATTTCCAAGATATGCAGAATGATATATTGATAAAGAAACTGGTTAGAAAGAGACAGAAGAAGGTGAGCTGGGATGTCTCACAGAGCACCAAATTCAGTGTTCTCACTGCAAATTGCATCAAAATTAATACAAACTATTATGGAACACCAAAATTAGACACAATTTTCAAATACTAGAATTACTCAAGTTACTTTGGATATATAAACTGTTTTCACAGGCATGCTTCCATTGTTTTAATAACTTAGTTATCAAAATGAAAATAATTGCAGATAAAAGGTATTTACAAAATCTGCAACAGAAAGAAAACTCCAGTAACATTTCAGAAAAAGAACAAAGATTTAGAATCTGAGATCCCTGACATTCATAAATAAATTTTCAAATTCACAAAATTATACTCTGATGATACACTTTGCAAATCACCCAAACAAAATGACTGCAGGTGAACCCAGCAGTGCTGAGGCTGTCCAAAGGGGGAAGCGATAAAAAGAGCCTGTCCAGAGTGACTTGGCTCCAGGACAAGAGGGAACAGGCACCCCAGTGCAAAAGCCTTAATGGCATATGAGAGGAAGAGAGAAGCAACAACAACTGTAATGACTCGAGATATGAGGGGAAGAGGAGCAGCAGCCACTGTAATGACTCTATGCCATCTTCTCTTGTGTTTTGCGTATTTAAATATAATAGTAAAGTCTCCACAGAAAGCAGTCAGGTTTCAGCAGAAAAGAAACTCCCCTCTGAACAACACTGACCTCTTTCAGAGAGCATTCTTGGTACAAAATGAGATAGATTCTCCTATTTTGCAGTACATGATGGACAGAGGCACAGTGCAATTTGAATACTAGTCAATGATGGTAATATTTAAGACCTCTTACAAATGTTTACTGTGAAAGTCTTCAGGAAGCAATATCAGAAGGAAAACCAACAGCTCTCATCTGCAGAACATCAACCACCTACACCACTTTCCTCACACCAACTGCACCGCATTGCTTACTCACATCAGCCCCCAACAGCTCAAAACTGGTATAAACTACCCCTCCTTTTAAACCAGAGGTGGCAGTTCCTGCTGGGCATCATAACCTCAAAGAACAACATTGCTACTTAAGGCAATTCCTCATATATGAATCACTTGAATAAGAGCTTATTGAGCATCCTGATTTTCATTAGTGAAGAAGAAAAGGTATATCATAAATCAGTAAGACAAGTAGATAATCAGCAAGTGGGGTGGAACCAAGCAAAACCCCCCTATGTTGATTGTTTAACCTTAGGTGAAAGCTTGTAGAGTTAGATCATAATGTAGCTATAAAGAAATACAAGTGCGAAATGAACAAGATAATTTTAAAGCCAGTTCAGGGATTGCCTCATGTTCTAAAAATATCAAACTCATTAATATAATTCTGTAATTTGTTCAAATGAGAAAAATTTAGACCCTTGAAAATGTATTTCTAATTTCTTAATGAGAAAATTTGAAAAGGAAACATGTTTTAAGAATCAATCAAAAAATTTTAAAGATTTAGCCATCAAAATTTATCTGCCCTTTAAGTTCTACATGAAAAATTATCAAAACAGACTTGTCATAAAATGTCTGCTACTTTCAAGTTGTCTCTAGACTGCAAAGAAACACTTTTTTTCTTCTAGTAAAAATCTATGACCCAAAAAGATTGTAAAATTAAGCAACTGGAATTGTGAAAAGATTGATTTGTTTTTTCAGTGGAAATAACCTTTCTTTCTTGATCCAAACCTTTATATGTTATGGGTTTTGTAAAACACACATCAGAATTCAATAAAATGTCAATTTGAAATAAGACTTCAGTCTACAGGTCTCAAGTTTAATATCCAACTTTATTATTGGATATTAAACAACTTTAATATTATGCAACTTCAGCAACCTAAAGCTAAAAACTCTGCTTTAACCTTATACAGAAACGTAACTCATGGAGCTGATACAAGAATTACAAGTCTTTAAATTACCCATTTTTATTTCACTAAAGGTATCTGAGCAGATGTTCTTTCTCAATGTGAGATTTGTAGATGGGAGCAAGAAGAACAAGATTTACAACTATGTTTGCAGAGTTAAAAAGGAGTGACTTAAACCTATTTTCTACATAGATTAAGGCCAACTTATTGGTCAGCTCCCAGTTGTTAGCCGGCTGCATCAAAAAACATACCCTGCAAACATTCACACAAACTCCACAACCAAGACTAACAATAACACATTGTAACTTCACAAAATGTAGAAATACAAACCTTTTCAAAGAAATTTTAATAGTTTGTGTTTTACGTACATTAAGGCTAAAAAGTGTTGTAAGAATGCCTGAATGTAAGAGCATTTTATAGCTGTGCAGAAGCAATTATTTTATGGCATATGGAAAGCCTTCTTGATTGTAAGATACACATTAGAATAAAATTCTTGCATAACAATATGCACACACTCGCCCTCTTGAACATTCACATGCTCCTGAAAACTTCTAGTAATGTATTATTATTAAATATTATTGACTTCTCTAATTGACCTCTCTATTGAAGCATTGTAATCCCTTAATTCTGAAAAATGCAAAAAACCCTATTTGAATATTTAGAGATAATAATTGGTAATATTTAAATGGACAGGACAATAACACACCAACCGTCAGGAAACTAAAGTTTATCATTCCAATCAGGTGCCATTTACAGAATTACCAACAAACAAACATAACACAAGCCAATGCTGGTTATTAGTTTTTCTGTTAACATATTGGTCCTAAATATATGGGGCAGAAAACTTTTCTACATTCATTCACATTAGAAATATTTCTCCTCTACTACTTCTCCCTTCACTACTACTTCCCATTACTTCCAGTAATACAAGGACTTCTCTCATTCTCGTTCATGATTTCTTGTGTGAAGCATCAAGTGTATACATCAACAGTGCCTAGCAAAGGAAAAGGCAGCAGTGCACACATTCTTAACTGTGTTAGTCTATACACTTCCTCCCAAGCAGCCCAAACAAAAGCTCCCCTCACTTCATTTCATACACCCCCAGAAAGCATCACCTCTTGTATCTGCAACCCATCTGCCCTCTGACAGAGCTGTGACAGTTACCAAAAGGGACGATCACTCAGGAAGGCTGAACTCTGGCCACTCAGCAGGCCAGAAAGCACAGAAAGACTGGAATAATTGCTCTGGGAATTAAAGGAGAAACCTGGCATTTGATTTGGATGTCCATTCATCCCATTTACGCAGTGGAGTTTGCCCCCATACATATATCCTGTTTAATTAAAAACACACTCCAAATCAGTTCTCTCTCTTGCATCCTTATTTTAAAATGATCAACTCACATTTCAGTGCCGCTGACACAACTTGTTGTTGTCATGTTTTATGCTATTTGTTCGGAATTTGTGATTAAAAAATGATGGACACACACATATCATTTAAGCTCTTCCTCTTTTCATTCCCTTCTGAGCAAACCATAGGCAGAGACAGCTCCAGCTGCCCACCACTTGGGGCAGCCCAGCACTCACTCCTGACCAGCATACCCAGCTTTGTTGTGTAGATCTCAATTTAAAATGTTCTTTTTGACCATACCACCTGCTTTTGTGGTTTATAAATCCTTCATCCTTGATGATCTCCAACAATGAAGCTGAGGGGAAATTGCCACAGCTAAGGTTGATAGCCTGCTGGGAAGCATCCCTGACCTGACCACATCCGAGACCTGCCCAGGACATCACTAACTGGCTTGGAAAATGCAATGCCAAGAACCATTCCAGACAGAAATCCAATTCTAATACATAAGAATGCTCCTTCACATTGTTTACTAACTCAGATATAGCAGAGTTGGATTTAAAATTAAACACTAAAACCTTCAAACATCAATTATCAGTAATTATTCCTTGCCTTTGAGCCAGTCTTCAACAGACTTCATTTAGAGAAAAAAAAATTATAAAGTAAAAAATCACTAGACAGTCATATTTTTGTTTTCAGATTTTTATGCTGTCTAAAATATTTTAAAAATTTCTTAGCTATTAGATAACCTGTGTAGTACTGAATCGATTAATGGCTCTGCCCTCTGACTTCTAATCCATGTCACACTGCACTCTCCTCTGAGAATAGCTTCACTGAGCTCAGTATAAAGCAGAACTGACTGTGAATGAGCTGAAAGAATTGAAGCCTAGAGCTATGTTTAAAAATCTGCTCCATTTAGCAACATGAGTCACACACGTCATTAGCAATTCTTGCATTTTTTCATTAGAATTGTGATATTTGGTCTTTTTTCTAAAACCTCTAACTTAATCAAACCTCATGATTAGGCAATAATTTTAATTTTCACCTAAAGTGTCTGGTTCCCAGTCTGGAGGGCACATGGGGAGTGAGGAAAGAATGGGTAAAAACTGATGAGCCAGCCTAATACTTACCAAAGGTCAGCATTTTATCCTCAAGCAGCTAATCTCTGAATGACTGCAGTCATTGCTTCCCTCCAAACCCTTTTTCCCATTTAGACAGGATCCAATTATTTGAAAACACATTTTGAGGATGTACACTGGTCATTGTAAGAAGTCAGGTAGATTTTGCACATCATGAAGGCTTTTACTAATAAACACAAAAAGAAATAACTATAAATGCTGTCAATGTTGCATCTATTATCAAGAACAACAGCAAAATAATTAAAAGGAAAAAAATATACTAATTAACTTATGTGGTTTAATAAGCAATTCTTCTCTGAAATTAGAGGGGCT